TATCATCTAAGAATACAATGTGCCCGCTTTCCACATAAGGCTGATAAACCTTGCAAAGAGAGAGTACGAGCTCGCAACCAAAAGCTTTAGCAAAGGATTTCAAATCCAACCCTCTAGCAGTTCTAAGAGAGAGCATGATGACATCCATTGCCAGGTCTTTAGCGTCAGTACTATCATCCTCACAATTTACCCCTCCATCCTCCAAAAGTTCCACATAGTGCATGAACTCTTTCAGCTTCCTTGGCCTAGAAAATCGTATCCCGTTGACATAACTCGCTGACCCAAGCCCAAAGCCATAAAATGGCTCATTCTTCCAGTACGTGTAGTTGTGTTTGCACATATAACCACTCCTGCAGTAACTACTAATCTCATAATGGTTATATCCAGCATCTGTAAGCATCCTCGACGCCATTCTGTAAAACTCAGCGGAAAGATCCTCAGAAGGCAATGGAAACTCACCTGGAGTATACCTGCACACAAACCAGTAACAATAAACAAACTTGAAACAAAAGAAGCACTTGTTAAATTGTCAATTTCATCTTCCAAAAGCATTATTCAGGCGCCTACTCTTTCATTTCCTTTTCCACTTTCTAATTTTAGTTGTATCACTGTCAGCTCTAGCTTGGTTTTGGAAATTGAATTTATCCAATATGCTTTTTCAGCTAAATATTTTTTTTTTTCAGTCAAATTTAAGTAGCTTGATCCATGTAAATCTCGACGCCTTTTAACGAATTAACAATCCATCCAAAGGATCTGAGAAAACTTCATGCCAGAAAATTCTATAGTTCAGCCCCCTCACCAGCATGAAACATTTGCAGATTCTGTTTTTAATGATCATTTATCTACATCTCACTAAACTTCATAATTTAGATCATAGAATGGAACAAAGAAAACTCTTCAAGTTTTCCCCTTCAAAGAGAGAGAAAGGAATTCAAGTGTCCCCCCTATCTCAAACCAACAGAGACAGAGTTTCTTGACTTACAATACTCCAAATTTGGTGTCTTTCTCAACTTGCAAATCATAAACTGAGACATGGGTAGGATGCGCCTGGATTGTCAGCTTCAAACTCTCCTCCCACATTTCTGGTGTCTGATGAGGAAGAGAAGATATGAGGTCCAAACTCCAATTCTCAACCCCACAGGCCTTCACAATATCAATAGCCTCATAAATCTCTTTCACACCATGAGCTCTCCCACAAGCTTTCAACAGACCATCTTGAAAAGCCTGCACTCCCAAGGACACTCTATTTACCCTCAACTCCATCAACTCCTTCAATTTCCCCCTATCAAACGTGCCAGGGTCCATTTCCATTGACATCTCAGCTTCCAAAGACACCCCGAATTTGGAACTCAAAGTTTCAAGCACCAAAGAAACCAACTTTGGCGGAACTAAAGAAGGTGTCCCACCACCAAAAAATACCGTTTCAAGAGATGGGTTGGGGTTTGAATTCAATGAGGTGGCTTTAATTTCTCTGCAAAGAGTTTGAATGTAGTTTAAAATTCGCGGGTCCTCCTCTGGTGCAGAGGAGGATCCTAGAGCGATAATTGGGAAGTCACAGTAGTGGCATCGTTTTCTACAGAACGGGAGGTGAATGTAGGCTGACTTAGGGGGCAGCTTGTGCTGCGGTGTGTTGGTGGACGTAGTTGTGTCATTTTGTCGAACAGTTTGTGGGGCTTGAGACAATGTGTTTGTTGTAATAGATTTTAAGAGTCTTGGAGGTATGATTTTGGAGGGAAAGGTTGTTGACAAGGGAGTGAAGGATAATTTTAACATGGTAGCCGTCGGACTTGAGTGCTAACAAAACTACCCTTCTATCCTATATTTTCTTTATCTGGGGGAACCTTTCTATCCTATATTGCTATTAGGAAGAGGAGAAAACGAGGCCTCTCAAATTAATCTCAAGTTCAGTCTCAGTACATTTTAGAGTCAGAAATCTGAAACAGAGAGTTCAATTCAAACGCATATTCTGCCTGTTCTCATTTATACAGAATAAAATGAAAACATTTAAGTTGGCCGACAGGTGAAGAGGACCCTGTTTTGCTACTGTTGAGCTCTATGTTCCATTTTGTAGTTTCCGTGACACTGCCGTTTTCCAAATCCCTAAAGCAACAAGCTTTAGTTGGTACCGGTAGGGGATCATGTTGCCCAGAAAATGCCCAAATTTTCAAGTGGAGATATCATAAATCGTATGCATTGCATTTAAGTTATTTGGTTATAAAATGATTAAGCTTTTAAATAAGCAATGTCGTAAGAAAATGCGAGTAAATAAAGGTTTGCATCTAACATGGTGTCGAGAAAAAGATCGAAAAGAAAATAATTGAGGCGAATAAATTGAAGCTCATCAGTATGATTTTGCTTCATGTAGAGATGGGATGAAGTGTTGGGAAAAGGAAATGGGAGATTCAAAAATATTAAACAATGAGTAAACACTATTAATTTTTTCTATTATTCTGTGGAGGATTGATTATCGGTGGTGTTTTTAAATTTACAACGAGCATTAATTTTGATGTTGTTCAATCGTTTCTATGTTGTTTATCCAATTCTTTGCATGTAACATGGAAATCGGAACAACTAACGCAACAACTCTGGTCAAGAGAATAGAAGTGTGATACATGGTACGAAGTAGGTGTACACTGAGAATGAAGAGGGTTCATATTTCTGAGAAATGATCCTCCGTGCAACAATCTATCTTCACAGTCAAAGGAAACGTTTCCTAACCGAAGTTTATTGTTGGGAGAATGAAATAACCAGTTGACAAATAGAAAGGTGGAATTCTTGGCTCACTTGAGTTTTATGCCATAACAGGCCATTTATATGAAATTAATTACTGATTATACGGAAAAAGGTAGCAGGAAAACGGTGAAAGCATGCAAATTGCCCAATCCTGGCCATCTAACTTGCAAATTGTTGTGATGACAAATGTTGAATTATTTGAGGCCATACAATTAGGAGGCATATAATTAGTAAAAAGAATTATTGAATTAAAGAGGTAAGTAAAAATTGCAATTCAGTGTCATTAAGAATACAACCCACCGTAACCGGACAAAATTAGGAAGTACATAATAGGTCCAATATACACAATATGATGCATTGAAACGAAAGTTGGTCACTATCTTTACAAACAAAACCTCTTATTTAAAATGAAAAAGGTACATAATGTCTATAATAATGTGTATCCAAAAATGAGGCTAATAAATAATCACTGTAGATCCATGCAGGACAGACATAGAAATAATTCCAATCTTGATTCTAGGGGTGCATGACACTTCAATCATGATAATGCAAGGGAAACGGTAAGAGTTCTTCCACTCTTCGGGCTTTGACTCATTGCTAAGCAAAACAAGCCAAACAAATCATTAAGCATTCTCTCAAATAATTTGCTTAATTTGAACTCAAGCCACACAATCAAATAACAGTATGTATAAAGATATCTGATTGGGCCTAGAACAACAAAGCCTAAAGAAGTGTTAGATGTTTTAAATGAAGTCCTTTAATCTCCATATCTTGACTAATAACCTGCACATAGAACAGCAGAAACATATTCCAAGGAAAATGAAGAAAATTCTCTTAACAAATTTTGCAAGTCAGCAAAATGTTGAACTCAAAGTTATAGCTCAGGAAATCCTCATCAATCCATTTTAGCTGCAAGGAGTAAAGACAAGTTACATGAAATAGCTATCAATGATACAGTCAACCAAACACAGTAGCTCTAGTATGGTAAAAGAATATTGAAATGGTCAAATAATAGTGAATTTTCCAAAGAATAGGAAACTTAAATGACCAATGCCTATCTTAGCGCCAAGTAACCCAAGGGTCTTTTCTTGAAACTCAATCTCTAGCTTTTTCTTAACATTTTAATCATTACAGTAATGACCATAATGATTTCAGTATCAGTATTTCAACTTGCACTTTTTTGCACACCTTTCTTCTTTTCTTTTACGTCTCTCCTCACACTGCCAATGCCTCTCATCCTTTTTTCAACAAGTTTATACCTATAAATATTGAAGTTCAAGAAATGAACCCAAAAGGTTAAAGATGAAATATACAAATTTATTACCAAGTAAAACTTACTCTAACAACAAAAGTGTAATCAATCTATAAAATTAATCAATGAAAAGAAACTAATGATTCGTTATTCAAAGGTCCATCAAAAGAAGATGACATTTTCACACTACAAAATAGTCTATCTAGATAGCCAAATAAGGAAGCTGACATGCTATGGAGTTCCAAATACAGATGTGCACAATATCTGCTCAACCAAGTCACCTAGTTTAAGGTATTCTCACCTATCAATTAAACAGAACCTCAAATAATTATAACTTATACTATCATTAAAACCCAAAAAAGGAAAAACAACAATAAAAGGTGAACAAACACCTACTTAAAGGTTATCTTCACCGTTTGTTTATTCCTGGACCACAAATAAAGATTGCTTCTTCCTGTAGTGGATACAAGAAAAAGAAGAAAGAAGAAAGAAAAGGTCAGAGATAAAAATCTGATGGGGAAAAATTTATCCCTGAGAAATTGCAATGGCAAAGAACCTTCGGTTGCGTAGACAATCATCTCTCTAGTCTTACTCTCAAACATATACTACTTTAGAAATATTGACTTGTCCTAAAAGATGCAGAGACAGAAATTGCATGAAGACCAGGTCGCATATTCAGTGAAAAAACAAGAAAAGAACAAAAGGATTCAACTTTTAACTGAGCAAAAAATGATTCCTGAACCAGCTTAGAGGTTTCTTCGGAAAATCTTTAAACTTCTCTGTACAAGTGAAAGTGAAAAGTCTTAACCTCGATCCTTTTGCTCCATATTAGTTAATGTTATTTATCATTTAGCTTCTGATTTAACAGATGCACTTGATATAATTTTGGCAGATTTCATTTTGACAGGTAAAAGGATTCACTCAAAACTAGTATTTAAGAGAAGAATATTAAAATCTAAAAACAAAAGGCCCAAATTACCGTGAAAAAAATAGGAGCAGGAGTTTTACTACAAATTTTTGCCATCCTCCACAAATTTCTATCATAGAGGGAAAGAGGGAAGGTCACAAATTGAAAAGGGAAACAAACCAGAGCAAAAAACTTGTGGGCTAAAAAGTTTCTTACCACAGAGGTTGTTCTTCCTTTTCTTCCTCACTCTGTAAAAATGCAAATTGTAATATGAAAATATAAACGAAGTAAAAAGACGGGAAAAATCACAGATGAATGTGCGCCAAGAAAAGAAGCAATCAGTGTTTCTACAACAAGGGCTCTAGAATGCATAGGTGTTTTAGGGATTAAATGCTTCTAGAATGCTTTAAGAAACCACTATAGCTCATACCTTCTGTTAAACAGCACCAGAAAAAATGTTTACAGAGGAAAACATTGATGTTCATGCCTATTTTTTAGCTAAAACCTAATAAATTCATCTTCCTTTCTATAAAAATAATAGTATAACCCAATAAAATAAAAGACAAAATAAAAACTTCAAGTGATTTGAGAGTAGAGACCGAAATTAAAAGGACAAAGTTTTTATCGGCAAAAAATAAATAAACAAATAAATCAATAGATGAATAAAGCAGAACAGACCTTTGGAGGACAGAAAAGGATGGAATATATCCACAAGTACTTGCATTTGCATCCCATAAAAGTTTTCATCTTTTTCCTGCAAAGATAATACTATAAGAATTAGGAAATCGGATAAATAAAACATAAGAGACATAAAATAAAATAAAAAATCTGAAGATATAAAGATTAGAAGATCAAAGTTCTTATCGCTAAGAAAATAATTGACTAACAGAGATATTAAACTAAGCTTTATTAATTTTTAAGCAAATAAAGACCATTGGAAGAACAGAGAAAAGTTGAGTAAATCTACAAGTTATTTGTAGCTCATCTCATCTAAAAAGATCAGAAACAAAAGCTAGAAAATTGAAGGTCATCTGTGGTTATTGTTGACTTAATTTTTAGAGAAAACAATACAGAAAAAATCGGAGAGGTATGGAAGAATTGTTGGTCCGCCGGTGAGTTTGATAAGAGAAGAAAGTAAGTGACAGGTATGGAGAGTGTTTACCAAGCCCTATTCGCAATCATACAGAAATCAGAGGAGGCAGAAGATAAGAATATGATGGTAGTAATCCTCGAGCCACTAACCAACCTTCAATTGATGTGATTTTCTCTGCTACTGCACGTCTTAGATTGGATCCAGTGGATAATAGGTTGAGCTCAGCAACAAACAACGGTGCATCTGCTTTTTAAAAAGAAGGGCAAAATCGTAAAACCATGGAAACCCACATTGAGCCCATCACTTTCATCTCAGCAGGTCAGCACATTGAGCCACATTGAGCTCAGCAGGTCAGCTGGTCTTCATTTTCGTTTCTCGGACAAAAAACAGGAATTGCACTTCTCCTCCCAGCGGACAAAAGCAAGAATCCGAATTCTCCTCCCAGTGAAAGCACGCGAGCCCCACGTGATGGACGACGACCCCCCAGCGAATGAAATGTAGCCATATCAGCACAACCACCGAATCCTTTCGTGCTTTTACTATATAGGTTGGTATAACTTGTTTCTCAGAATTCATGCATCAATTGTACCATGAATAGAGGACAAACACTACTCTCTTTCACAAATTTTTGTTTCTGAAAGCGGAACATATTATGAGGTCCAAAGTCATTCACTTTGTGACTTGACCAGTAAAGGCTCCTCATATTCCTGCTAATACAAGACCTGTGAGGACACGAAATTTGCATATTTGCCTTTGAATTACATGCTTTTATTTGATAAATAATAAAGAATATTTGTACTTTATTGTCCGTTTCAATTTATTGCATATTATTTGTTTTTTTTGGGAGATATATTAATTAGTCCAACTAGTAAGGCGTGGCATGAAATAAAGAGGAATATGGATGTAGAAGGATATTTTATGATACTAAGATATTGGGGTGAAAACGATATTTGGCAAAAGATATTTTGAGAATAAGATATATATAATTTGTAATTGTGTCAATTGTCAATTTGTTAAACAAAGCTTTGACTAAACCTCTTGTGACCCAAAAATAACTTAACCAAAACTCCAAATTTCCTAGTCTTTCTTCTTCTTGCAAGACTTAGTCAATTTCACTTTCTTTTCTTTTTGTTGGAGAGAGAGAGAGAGAGAGAGAATTGGGTCATAACTTGATCAAGAACTCTTTAGACCAACTAAATACTTGACTAAACACGTCTTGATCAAATCTCCAAATTTACTAGTCTTTCCTCTTCTTGCAAGACCGAACACTTTCTTTTCTTCTTGTTGGAGCTGAGAGAGAGAGAGAGAGAGTTGAGAGTAAGAAAATTTCCTTCATCCTCTTCTTCCTATCATCAGTTGAGAACCAAGGTTGATTCAACCATAAAACTCCACAAAAGTTCCCTATTTCTTCAAACTTAAACCGTGAGTGAGGAGCCCTTCCTCTTTCCTTCTTCCAACTGTGAGTGTAGGGAAAAGAGAGTTTTTGTGGAAGAAAACCTTGCGCAATGACTGATCTTTTGCTGGAAAAAAATTCTGTTATGGCCGAAGAAGAAAGGCAGAAATTTCCAGCTCAAAAAACCGTGGGAACTGAGAGGGAAGAAGGTGAAGCTATAAGTTTCATTCCAGCTTTCATTCTTGCAAGATCAAAGGTAAACTTACTAGCCAAACTTTCCATTTTTTTCAAGACACACCAAGATGATTGATATATATTAGTTCTAGCCATGAAAATGGAAATTTAGTGGGAAAGTAATCTCATTAGAAGTTGATTTGTATGCTGAAAATTTCCAGATTTGACCGAGGGGGACATGAGCTTAATTTACAGTCTCTTATTTTGACCTTTTGGGAAGTTTCCACTAGGAAGTTATGTTATAAGTGTTATATTTTTTGTTTAGTATGATATATAGCATGTTGTTTTTTATTTTGGTAGCAAATTGTTGGCTTAGATGTGAGAAAATTGGTAGCAACAAAGTTGAAATAACTCCTGTGAAAGTAAAGCATTTCGATGGGGAAAATTTCGTTTTTTCAAGCTACCAATGTGCTGGAATTTTCCAGCTTGGACCAAGAGAGAAAGCTGATGATAGATTTTTCAAATTTTTCATAACTTTTGGTTGTAAAACTGCAGGTGTGCTGTTAATCTCCCTTTCTAATACAATAATATTGACATGTATGTGGGTTCTAAAGAGAAACTTGAATTTTAAGGTTGTGATTCTTGTTGGAATTCCTCCAACTTTGGTCGAGAGAGTAAGCTGTGTAAGTGCAGCTCTTGTTTGCAAATTTTGGTTGAAACATGTCTTATTTCTACTTGTATGATACCGATTGTATGTTCACCATTAAATCTAATGGAAACTTGATAACTTGGTTGGAGAGCAATTTGAAGAAACTGCTGAAAATCCACTTGATTGGCTGAGTGAGGAAGAGAGGAAAATTTTCAATTTTTACACGACTTTTGGGGCCGCAAAAGCTCTCTTTTCCCTACACTCATGGCTGGAAGAAGGAAAAAGGAAAGGCTTCCTCACTCACGGTTTAAGTTTGAAGAAATAGGGAACTTTTGTAGAGTTTTATGGTTGAATCAGCCTTGATTCTCAACTGATGATAGGAAGAAGAGGATGAAGGAAATTTTCTTGCTCTCAACTCTTTCTCTCTCTCTCTCTCTGTTCCAATAAAAAGAAAAGAAAGTGCTCAGTCTTGCAAGAAGAGAAAAGACTAGTAAACTTGGAGATTTGGTCAAGATGTGTTTGGTCAAAGTATTTGGTTGGTCTAAAGAGTTCTTGGTCAAGCTATGACCCAACTCTTTCTCTGTCTCTCTCTCTCGGCTCCAACAAGAAGAGAAGAAAGTGAAATTGGCTTGGTCTTGTAAGAAGAAAAAAGACTAGGAAATTTGGAGTCTTGGTCAAGATATTTTTGAGTCACAAGAGGTTTGGTCACAACTTTGTTTGACAAATTGACAATTGGCACAATTACAAATTATATATATCTAATTCTCAAAATATCTTTTGCCAAATATTTTTTCACCCTAATATTTTAGTATCACAAAATATACTTCTACACCCATATCCCTCTTTATTTCATGTCTCACCTAGGGGTGTTCACAAATCGAGCCGCTCGCGAACCGGCTCGATATTGACCGAGCTCGAGCTAAATTAAATCGAACTCGAGTTCAAAAACATTAAGCTCGTTGGCTCGCGAGTTCAATTATATATATTTTTTATTTTTTATTTTAATAGTAAAATTACACATATATCCCTAATATTTTATTATTTGTTAAAAAATTATTATTTTATTCATTTTTTAAAATAAATAATTATTTTTTATTTTTTAAAAATAATTTTATTATTATTATTTTTTTATTTTTTAAGCTCGACCTCGAGCTCTAGCTCGAGTTTGACTCGAATTTGAGTCGAACTCGAGCTTGACATTTTGAGCTCGTCGAGCTCGAGTTCGAGTTCGAACTTTACAAAATTAACTGGAGGCTAGGCTCGATTAGGCCAAAACTCGACTCGTTTGCACCCCTAGTCTCACCTCACTAGTTGGACTAATTGGTATATCTTCCCAAGAAAAACAAATCATATGCAATAAATTGAAACGGATAATAAAATACAATAATTCTTTATCATTTACCAAATAAAAGCATGTAATCCAAAGGGAAAAAAATGCAAATTTTGGAAAAAAAAATGCAAATTTCGTGAGCACGATTACATGCTTTTATTTGGTAAATGATAAAAAATTGTTGGACTTTATTGTCCGTTTTAATTTATTGCATATTATTTATTTTTCTTGCAAGAACTCTTTAGACCAACCAAATACTTTGATCAAATACATCTTGACCAAATCTCCAAATTTACTAGTATTTCCTTTTCTTGCAAGATCGAACACTTTCTTTTCTTCTTGTTGGAGAGAGAGAGAGAGAGAGAGAGAATTGAGAGCAAGAAAATTTCCTTCATCCTCTTCTTCTTATCATCAGTTGAGAACCAAGGCTGATTCAATTATAAAACTCCACAAAAGTTCCCTATTTCTTCAAGGTTAAACCGTGAGTGAGGGAGCCTTTCCTCTTTCCTTCTTCCAGCCGTGAATATAGGAAAAAGAAAGTTTTTGTGGAAGAAAACCTTGTGTAATGACTGATTTTTTGCTGAAAATTTTTTTTGTTATGGCTGAGATAGAAAGGCAGAAATTTCCAGCTAAAAAAAAATATGCAAATTTCCTGTCCTCACAAAGCCTCATGGCTCATGCTAGCCGTATACGTGTTGAACTGAATTGTCAATACAGGTGTACATGTTAAAACTGAAAACTAAGAAAGGTTAAGCAAACTCAACACCAACATACACTGTACGCACGATAATTAATGTCAGGTTAGTAAGCCCCAACTACAACAACCAGAAAAAGATCCGTGTGGTTCCATGCCATGCTCGTCTTCCGACACTGGTACTTGATAAAAAATGCAAGTAGCACTGGACAGTAAACCAGGCAACTCCATGGGCGGTTACTTGCAAGCCTTCTTATGCAAGGTACTTCACCATGTAAGGACCTTCTAGCTCGTAGCCCAACTTTCTGTAGTAATGACGGGTCCCTACCCCTGAAATGACAGCTATCTTTTTTGACCTATACTCTCTAACAGCAATTCGTTCCGCTTCCTCCATTAGCAGTGTACCATAACCTTGATGTTGCAATTTATCAGCATCGCGCCCATGGACAGGAACTGCTGTTCCATAGACATGGAGTTCCCGAACGATAGAACATTTTCCTGTGAGTTCAGGGCAAGTGACGTTGCGCCCACATTTCCTCAGGCGCAATAGCCCAACAAGAATATCCTGCATTAATCAGCAAATTAAAGAGTCTGAAGGAAGCATAGGTTTCTTTATCCACAACCAAAAGGTAATTAAGATCATTACCAGGCATAGCATCACTGGGTAATGTAGCAACTAAAGGGAAAAAAAGAAATTATTTGAATCCAAAGTAATTATAGATACACACCAACAGAACCCACCATAAAAAAAGGCAGTTAATGTTCAATGAGGTTTATATGCCCAGCAAATAAAGAAAAATGAAAGTAGGGTGGAAGGATTAGTACATAGCATCTTTTGATCTGACAAAATGCATTGCCTAAGTATTTGCATCAATTTTCCTAGGTTTATAGATATCTACAAACAGACAAAAAAGTGGCTTGAAGACACTAGTGAGTTTTTATGCTATAAAAATCTCTTGCAGTTGAAAATTTCCAAGATAACATGTACATAAGTTTCCGATTTTGTCATCAATAAAAAAAGCAGCTCTTAGAAACCCACTCTATGCGTTATCTGTTATGG